GATGTTTCATTTTGAGCAACTAATGGGAGCCAAAAGTCGATGATTCGATCCAAATCACTCAACACTGTTTGTAAAAATTCCATCATTTCTCTTTTCGACAGTCGTGTAGCATAACTTTTTTCTACTGGAATTGCGATGGTAGCAACGTGGAAAGGTGTTTTCATTTGTTCGGCCAGTGCCAGTACTTCTAATTCATTTTGTAGTTGTGTCAACAGTGGTACAGTGCGGACCGTGAATTTGAGAGAATCTATTCTTTTTTCCATTTCATCGATCAGTTTGCGCTCATCACTCTCTCATTTATCCGTGTCGGTGATTGAAAATATGTAGCTGGTGAATCGAGTGTTGACACCACATTTTTGGGACAGAATTTCAATCTGTTGTTGCATTGTGTCTAACAAGTGAAGAAAACACGGAACGGCAAAAAAAAGGATTTTCAATATTTCGATTCCAATTTGTTGAAGGCAATATTAATTTTTTTTATACTCACTGAATAATTTTACCATTCATTTTCGAAAATATTCACCGTGAAATTGCAATATTTTTCCGATGTTTGTTTATTTGAAGAGAGAGAGAAATGAAAAAAAGGTGAAGAATAAGAGCAACAATCAAGGGGAATTTATCATTCAAAAATTCTTCAATTCCGATGTGTTTTGATCTATATTCAGAATATCCACACATATTCACATAATATGTCAACTATTACTCGGTCGAATTTCGACCGGTTTGCGACCCTAGTTAGTATAAAAAACAGTAAATTTTTTGTCACCAAACACAATTATCAACACATACTCTATCAACGCGATTTAGTTTTTTAATTTAAATTATTTAAATATCAATCAGCAGCAAGCAATTTATTGGATATTATACAATTATGTAAAATTAGTGGTTTCGTCTATCTAATATCTACATTCGAGATGCAACGCTTTCTTATGACAAAATCATACTGTCTAACAGATCGTGGTGATGCGATTATCACACCGTCTTGATGTCCGAATTTTTCGGTGCGTGATGTGCCTTTATGAGAATATGCTGAACGTATTGCTCTGTATTGACAAACGGACGGTATTACAGCGGCCGTTATCTGGTGTATGGTTCAATATTGTGACACAACAACAATTTCTATTTTGATGAGTTGTGTGCGCGTTTCAACCGTGCATACTGATTGCTTGAGTGGTTGCTTGAGATTTAAACGGATCACAACTATTCCAATTTTATGATCGAGCAATCCAGCTAATTTTTTTTTCGGACTGATTGATTTTTGGTTTTTGTTTTTGTTATGATTGTGATAATTGGTTCAAAATAGGTACCGGTGATTGAAAGTTGAGTCCTATCTATTGTTGCTTGCGTCCATGGACCATTTGAATGTGTTTTCGTCATGTTGCTCTTCAGTGTGAACATGTATTTATGGCCGGTGGAAACGTAAACTGCTGTTATGCGAATACGATGAACCGCATTCAAATTGAAATGCCTTTGCTATCAGACAATCATTTTTATCCGACTCCATAGAATACCACCAATCTGTAACGATATCAAAACAAATAGAAAAATACACAAAATAAATTAGTCAAATTGATTTCAAATCGAGAAACTGTGACATTTGATCTCAGTTAACTACAAACGAACATGCACAACAAACACAATAGGTTGACGAATGGGTGAATAAGGTGACCGATAAGAAACCGACTCTGTTCTTTTTTGGTGCTGATGGCGAAATACCACCTGATAGCCCAATAAGTATCAAGAAGCACGTGCGCTGCCCAGGGGTTCGTAAGACTTTGAGGTCAATAAAGAAGCGCCGAAATTGTTTCATACAATTGGTGGACGAATGGGGAACATCTCAAACAGACGCAAGATGTATGCATCGAATCGAAAACCAGAGAAAAGACGCCAGATTCAAGAGATGCCGTTGCGTACCCGAAGCCAAAACATTGCTGCCAACAAAAATTGTGTCAAAGTTGGGCAAAACGGATCTATCGATCTACCGACAGTTGCAACGCGCCATGAACCAAGAAGCATTGGTAGGAGACGAGCGTTTATTCCCAAAAGTAAAATGTTACTACAAAAACTGGCGATTAAACCTCGAATGCTCTGTGATTTGGCATCGTGACGTCGTGGCTGCTAAGAGCATTCTACTGAAAAGTAAGACTAATTGACGCACAATTTCGATTGAATGATTTTTTAAGAAGGTTCATTTGTTTAATTGTTCAGGACTATGGACATTACTGGGACTTCCGATACCAGAAGCGATCAATAGGTATTGGCGCGAAGCTGCTGAAGCAGCCGCTGCTGTTGCCGCTGCTGCTGCCGCTGCTGTTGCCGCTGAAGCAGCCGCTGCTGCTGTCGCCATCGTGGATAATGATGTAGAAATGTTCGAATACGACCAGCAGCCAGCTGATCATGCTGTCTAATCAGCACATTGCAAACAAAAAAAAACAAATGTAACATTAGTTATTAAAGGCTATCCCGATCATGTGGGATAGTTGCGTTGAAGCAAGTTGACTCCCCATCTGGTTGATGTTAACTGCGCAGGAGTACTTTAGTGGGTCGTTTAGGTAAGCATTATTCGATTTTGCAAAAAGTTTTTTTTTCTTCTGGAAGTGTTGTATAACGCTCTATTAATGCTACCAGTTGACATAAAATTGGCTTCTCTTTAAATTTATGCTATTCATTCTTTTTTTTCAGATTAGCTGAACACCCTAGTGTACATCAAACATATTTACAGGTATACCAAGCATAATTAGGAGATTCTGTGAAAGATTAGTGAAGTTGATCCGTAGATGGATGAAATGGACCATACGACTCATTAGTCCGTGATATGGACTTCATATATTAATCGCTCAAATATCATTTCTAAAACTGCCATAAAAAGATGTTGTCAATTTCTAAATATAATTGGATATGTTTGGAGACAATTTAAAAACTATTTCCATAGAATTGAAGCCACCACATTCTGAACATTCTCTATACGCCATGCGAATGGATAATATTTAAATAAACTATTGGTATGACTCATTTTCAATGAGGAAACATGATTTTTAGTCTAAAATAAAAATATGTGAGTTGTAAGGCGGTTTCATCTTCAGATTTGACTCCAATTTGACCTTGTCATTTCTTATTAAAAAGTTTTCGCTCATAGTATTACACGCTGATTCTTCCATGATCCATAAGTAATAACTCCTGTCTTATATGTGAAAATCACATCAATTTTCCGTATTTAATTTTGAACATAGGACACAATTGTGTACCGTTCAATACCTAATAGTTGATTCATTCCATACACATTTCAAGCTGTGATGAATTGTCTCGAAATACCTATTTTTCGGATCATTTAAAACAGCTATTTAAAGGGGTAACGCCACTCTTTTACGACCTCATTTCATTCCGTCGAATTTGCTTTCGTAACATTTCTGCACACAATTGTGTTTATTTTTTGCACGCGCCAACGCAAATGCGTTGCAAACTCGAATCGTTGTGGAAAATAAGCCAAATTTCTCTCAACTCAAGAATTCCAATGATTAGAAACATGTTTGTTTTTCGAATTTCGAACTGTATTTGTACAACTATTAGCTAAAATAACTTACTAGTTGAATATGTTAAGTGGTTTGTATTTCGTCATAATATCGATAATTTTTCCTCGATTTTCGGTCTATAAATGCCATTGGTTGTGCCTTCACTCTTTACTTCAGATTCAATTTGTGCTTGAAATTAAAAAAGAAAATGGCAGTGAAAAGCTGTCTACTTTGTATCATCGCATCCATAGCAGTCTTGGGGTCCATTGAATGCACGTAAGCAAAAAAATTTTTTCCATTTTTCTCAAGCAATAAGCATACACTACTAATTCCCGACAGATTCATATTAAATTTTACATTTTGAAATTACTCATTGCAATTGATAGAATCCTTTCTATTTCGAAAATATTCAGAGAATCGATCGAGAATTGTATGATTAATCTGGAACCTATTTGGCACATTCATGATTTCAACGCTGTTCAAATGGCAGAAAGTTGATTTTGGGCCGCTAGTATGTTGGGACCTGCTAATAATTCAAATGAAGCAAAGATGTAAGACAATCGACGAACAGAAAATTTATAGCGCAGCTGGAACTGAGTTACTTTCCACTTTTTCATCAACTTGAATTGGAGAAAAAAGATGAGAGCTCATGGATGATTTTTCACGTACAAAAAAGCATTTATTTGTATTTGATGAATGGAGCGAAAATGGTCGACTAAATTTCTTTTCCATTGATGTCGCTTTTCAAAACCAAACCACTATGCGAGGGGCTTATTTGTCATCGCAAGTCAATATTGACTCGCTCAAATTCATACAAATTAACTCGCGAGTTACTTCATAAGAAGTACAGAGTATTCATAAACAAATCTACGAACCAACGCGAGTCAGTCGAATTTTTTTTCTCGAAGAAACGGTGACTCGTCAACTCATATGAAAGGCTTGCACAGGGCTGGAATTCTAAGTCATTCCACCAAAATCGTTCGGAATTATTTTTTTCGTACATAAGACCATATTGGAGTGAAAGAGAGAGATTTCACTATTTTTCTGCACTCCACCGGAATTATTTCTCACACAATCCACTCTTCCTTGAGTTATCGGAATAATTCCGGTGGAGTGCAGAAAAATAGTGAAATCTCTCTCTTTCACTCCAATATGGTCTTATGTACGAAAAAAATAATTCCGAACGATTTTGGTGGAATTCTTAGAATTCCAGCCCAGTTTCCTGCGTTTTTCATATTGCATGAGTCGTACGAATTCATTGAATGTGCAAATTAGAACGCGCAAACAAAAATAACATACCAACAGAAACAGTATACCAACAAACAAACCCCCCAAATGACACGCAAAATGTGACAACGTAGAAAAAAAACTGTGCATTTGAACGGTTTTGCAGGTGTTTCCACAGACAAATGTCAAAATCAACCCAATTGACTAGTGTAATACGGTTGAAATTGCATTGTCATGTGTGGCCTTCGTTTTTATTTACAATTTGCTACGTATATGACATTGGTCAGCTGGTAATCTTACGTCAAACCTAATGAATAAAGTATCAGGGAAAACAAAACGAAACAATCAGTCAAAGAATATCAAGAATTTTGTGTTTTTTTTTGTTGTTTTGTATTTGTTAATTAGTATCGTCAGTATATTAAAGTTATTTTTGAATACATTTCGAATTAACTCCATTGACGGCTGTAGCAGCCTCGTTTCAATGTTTCGATGGATAAAATGGAAATATTATAAAAACATATTGGAATTTGTCGACACACAATCTGAAAATTGGTTTTAGCAACGAAAAACGAGCAGAAAATTCGTTGTTTGTAAATAAGGTGTATGTGGTGAGGTGATCCACGTATGATGTACGTGAATTAAAGTACAAACAGTGGAAACAAACGCATAAAATAATCCGTGATAGTAATTTTAGGCGTAGCAGAGGGAAACAAATTGTTTGCATACGTCCAAAAGTCAAAAGCAATGTTCAAAGTGACCGAGCAAAGAACGTAACATAGTCCAAATAATGTGCTATTTCAAAATTTATCATTCCGGTCATGAGTTGAATGTGGTGAACAGTCAGCCGATTGATAACATCACCAAAATTGCATCACACAATAATCATGTGTTTATGCTAACAACAGCGAAGCAACTCTTTTTCGGTACACCCAACGGCAATGGGCCACAGGCGGACATTCAATTCGAATTGATACGCGAAAATGTGATTGATGTGGCATGTTCCGTCGACTCAGTGTACGTGGTTGACGAGAATGGCAGCGTTCAACATTGTCCACTGATGGCATTTGATTTTGACAAACGATGGAATGATATTCCGATAATGAACTGTAAGTTAATGGGGCATCATTAATTGTCCAATCAAACAAATAACACTGTTTCATCCGGAATAATGAGAGAAAGAAGACAAAATGAGTATTTTTTCTATTAAAATGTATTTAAATTCCAAATTTATGTCACATATTATTCATCAGGTTGTTATTCATCGAATGAAATTTCTCTTCTTCTTTTTTCTGCCGTAGATGGTGCAATTTACGAAGGTGTCACATCGAATGGTTGTAATGTTATTCGTGTGCTGGAGGTTTGTTGCAATGATGACGGTGCCTTATTTATAACAGCCGATCGTGAGCTATACGCAGTGGGAAGTTTTAACGACGTATGCACATCGGATCAACCGATCAAAGTGGCACAGTTCATCAATTATGAGATTCTACAAGTGGCAATGGGAAAGCATTTTGCAGTGATTTTAACGCGAAAACGAACATCACAGCCATTCCATTCGTCTGCATCACATGCCAATCACATCGATTCATCGAGTTGTGACGATTCAATGGCATCACTTGACAATTCACTGGCTCACGCATCCATAACGGAAAATGGCAACGAAAGCCTAGCTTCAACTCCACAGCCTCTAGACACCAATTTTGACATGCATTCGCTGAATAGTGTGAATTTGAGCAATTTAAAAACCGTCACTAACAACACAACCGATACCGAAAGTAGTTCGCCTGAGCATTCGTTGGCTTTCGATGTGGAACATGCAATTGGACGGTTACTGAAAACAAACGGCCAAATTCAAACGCAAGTTTGGTGCTTTGGCAGCATAAACCAAGCCGGACAATTGGGTGTTGGCGATCATGTGAAGCGAATGCATGCCGTCGAAGTGGTGAGCTTACGAGATCAGGGCGTTGTACAAGTTTGTTCAGGCGATGAATACACCGCCGCTTTAACGCTTGATGCTCGGCTCTATTTATGGGGTGACAATTCCAATGAACAAATTTCACACTGGCTGGAGAAAGAGGACTACAGTTCACCGAAACGATTTTACAAGCCCGAACAAAATATCTTTGGCGTGCAGTGTGGCCAACACAGTACTTTCATTCTAACGAATAACCTTGATCGATACGAACTCAGTCGGAATAAGCATTTTCCCAGTATAAATATTTCACACGAATACACCGACGACTACGGTCAACATCAATCGGATTACTTGCTTTTGGCCAGTCGACAGTATTTAGTTGTTGGCACCGTGTATCGTCCATTGCGATTTGAAAAGTACTTGGAATTCGAACAACAATTTTTACAAGACATTTTACAAAATACAAGAAAAAATATCGAACATTTTCTGCGTACTTTGAGTCGAAACATTCAAATCAAACATCCGCAACTCTATCGACAATTTGCGCAACAGTACAATAGTATTACGGAATTAGCAGCAAAAAATATCGCCAGTCTCTTGAAATTTGCATGTCAAAAATGTGACCACACCGCCATCGCTTTCATTCAACATCACACGGAATATGTGCATTTATTTCGACAGTATTGCAAATTGTATTGTGAAACGATTTGCTCCGATGATTTTGTGCGTGCCAGTCAAATTATTATTCCGAATGCGGATTTTACATCGAAATTTTCGATACCATTGCAACACACCGCAAACTATGTGGATTTTATTCGTGAATTGATCGAAGTAAATGGTGGTGAAAATGGGCTATACCTCAAATCGGTTCTAAGCCATTGGGAAAAATACCGGCATGAAGTTGATGAAATGCTAAAATCGGCCAATTTAACAATAAACTTTTGGACAGCCAATCAAAAAGTTGTACCACCAACACTACAAATACCTGAACGTCGTTTCATCATGGATTCAAAGGAATTTTCGCTAAAACTGTTGCCATCGAGTCGATTCAAGTCAAACTGGTTTATTTTGTTTAATGACATCTTCTGTCACAGTACCGGAAGTAGCTCATCGCTGAAGCAATACTCGTTAAAAACACTTTGGATTAGCAATGTGGTGGATAAAGATGTGTCACCATCGTCATCGTCGTCATCTTCATCGTCGAATGTGCGAAAATATGCATTCAAAATTATAACACCCGAAGAACAATTTCTAGTTAGTGCCCCGTCCAATGATGTCAAATTAAAATGGCTACAGGCATTTGAATATCACATTAAGGATGCCCTGGGCAAAGTCAATTCCAAGTCAACATTCGTGCGACGAACCACAGCCTATACATTTAGTGACAAGCATCGAATTTATCCACTGTGTAAATATCTGGGCCAGTGGTATTATGGAAAGATGGATGGAATCGGATGCATCGAATATCCAGACGCTCGCATTTACACGGGCCAAATTAAAATGAACTCAATCACTGGTTATGGTCGTTTGACATGCCCGAATTCCGATTGCTATGAAGGTCGCTTCGTCGAAGGTAAATTCGATGGTTTCGGAACGCTGGAGACACATCAATCGAATGAAAATTATGAAGGCCATTTTAAGAATGGCCAGAAGAATGGGTTTGGCATTTTGATCGACAATATGCGAACTTATATTGGCGAATTTATGAATGGATCGCCCTGTGGCTATGGTGTGGTGGACGATGCCGACAGTGGTGAGAAGTATATGGGAATATTCAAGGATGGCCATCGATGCGGCCATGGATTTTGCATCACAGCCGATGGCAAATACTTCGAGGGAAATTTCGTTGACAACGAACTGAATGGAAATGGTATTGCAATGTTCACTGACGGTTCATACTATGAAGGTGACTTGAGTATATCGGGTCCAAACGGTCGCGGTACATTATATCTACCGGTCGAATTACTTCAAACCGAATACAACTTCGATATGGACATTCAAAAGTCCATGGTGCGAGGCAGCGTGTTGTCCGGTTCGTTGAGTGGTTGTTGGGAAAATGTTAAGATTAACAATGGCAGCATTTCAATTAGTCAAGAATTCACCAAGTATCCCAGTCAAATAGGAGAACATCAAATCGATAGTAAATCGAAATGGTCGGCACTGTTCACGAATTGGGAACACGATGTGTTTGGTGCATCGATGAGCGAAATCAATGACACGAAAGAATTATGGATTAAAATTAGTGACTATAGTGATACTGTAAAACAAACCGAGGTGCTTAAATCAACTATATCCACATCAGCTATTCTGTATAAGAGCGGCGGCGGCGGTGGTGGCAGTAGCCTATCGAACAAAATCTACCAAGAATCATCGCAAACAAATCATTTTTTGCTTGACACCACCAGCAGCCAAAATGACTATCATGTATCGAAATCGCTTAGTTTAAGTCGCATCACGGGTAAAAATTACAAACGAAATCTGTTGGCCGTCGAACGACCGAAATCATTGAGCAACGAATTTCTTAACAATGCCGTGAACTTTTCATCAGACGTTGGAGTCAAAAGTGAGGAGGCAGCAAAGGGCAGTTCGGGCGCGATCAAAAATGATCGACTTGAATTGTCAACGGCATTGAAAAGTCCAATCCCCTGTTTTGGCATATCAAAATTAGATGCAAACGATCTGAGATTGATCCGTGACTATCTGACAAAAGCGTTTAAAAATCAATATCATCCGTTGGGCATTTTAAATTCAAAAGTTTCGTACTGCTTTTACACATCGTATGGCTGCTGGAAAGTGAAACCGATATCGGTTCTCTCAACGCATGCAATGCACGAATGGGAAAGCATATCCAGACGCATTTACATCATCCTGAGGAAATTATTTCCAACATTGCCACAGGAATATGGCACGTTGGACGAGTGAGTTGAGATTTTTTTTGTTCATTTTTTTCTTTGAAATTTTTCTAACAGTATTCTTAGTCATTCTCACTGTTACTCCAAATGGCTGATTACAAAACATATTCCTTCTATTTTCACAGTGAGTTCATATCACATCGTAGTTTACTCTATCCGATTCTTCTCTCGGAAGGCGTTTATTCGACATTGTTTGTTTTGTATGCAAATAAATGCAGCAAACGCGATGAGATCTACCGGCAACGCATTCAATCAAGTGAAAAGAAAACAGACGATGAACTCATGGAATTCTTGAAACTGTCCGGGTAAATTTTTCAATTCTTCGCGATTGTTCAAATTCTTTAAATCCTATTTTCTTTACAAAATTCATCAATTCAATTTTTTTTCTACATTTGCAGTAAATATCTTCCGTTGATTAAGAACGATGAATTTACATTGGCAATACTCGCTTTACAGCAGGTGAAAGAGAAATTTTGCCCACGTGAAATGCTCCACTTGATTGAAAAAACGTTCAAACATGTTGAAGCGGCAGCTGAAATATCCAAATCCACCACCGAACACCTGGTGAATGATGACAATGATGATGCCGAACGAACGACGACAAATGACACCGAAATCGTTCAATTAAACGCAGACAATATGATGCCACTGACAATATTCTTGTTACTTCGCGCAGCGATACCACACCTTGGTACGGAAATCCTTTTGCTCGAAGATTTAATGGGACCTGATTTTGAATTCGTTATGAATGGATTCGCCGGCTATTGTTTCACTACAATCAAAGCGGCCTATCAACACATAATCAATGACTCATTTTTACAATAAAATTGGAAGTAACAAAGATGAAGAACAAAACATATTCCAAAACATCCAATGAACGCTTTGAAATTGTGATAATCGAAAGAGGAGATAAAAAAATCGAAATTTATTAAAATAAAATCACACCACAAACCAAAACGAAAGATGGCAAACTTTTGCGAAACACACAAATGAAACGGTTTATTAAAACAATATTTACAGATCTGATTATGAGGCAGACAGTGAAAATATTTAAACACAGAGGGCTACCAGTGATGTTATTATTTCAACGTAATGATGATGCCAATATCAAACTTTCTGTTTCCAAGTTTTTATTACACAATAGAGATTATTTTTTTTTTATCAGTACCTGTGTGAACCGGAAGGGATAATTTGTAATTCATTGAATTATAGCAACCTTACCATTTTGTCTGTATATAAATTACGGTAAATTAGATGTGATTAAATCCAAAAATAAAAATGTTAAATTGATGAGATTTGACAAGGAGTACTAAGCTTCTTCTTTGATAATGTGAAGAACTTGAGAAGATCGTTAATTGGTTTAAGTCGTAATGCGTGGAATCAATCAATTCGGCGAGATTCAATTCGATTGCACCGCGTTAACTCAATCAATTCAATTGAACAACTGTGCCTATCTGAGCAAAATTATCAATTTTGCCTTTGATCAATAAAAACTTAGTGTGAATCCATTGTCACATAGCCGTTACTATTGGTCAAATTGACCAATCGAAAATAAGAAAGCTAGAAATAGGCTCAGGTCACTACCAAACGGTAGACAAGAATTAAATTTCCATCAGAAAAGCATGTCCCCTTCTATATCTATAACATACTTACTCAATGTCCTTGATCCCATTAATCAATGATCCATCCCTGTCAAACAATGCAGAAGTAAATTATGAAGAAAACAAAAGCGTGAAAAATCGGTGATTCATTCATTGAGAAATGGGAGTTCATTTGTTGATTTTATTTCGAAAAAAAAAATTGTTGAATTGACACAAGTTGTGCAGTCAAAAACAGATTAAGGCTCTTTCGTTCTACAATCTAAATGTACAAAAATCGTCGTTTTCGATATGATAGTAAAAGATTCAAACACAATAACAAATTTTGGTAAAACATGTCATAAAAATGGATAAACACTGGGTTTGGGTTCAAATCGATTCACTCACACGAACAATGTGCTGCCCTACTCTCTCTTTCTATCATTTCCTTTAGCTGCCTTTCTTTTATCCACTGCCTTGTCTTTTCATAAGATGCCTTATTTCACTAGCTTTGAAGAAGAATTTGTAAATAGGGTTCTGGGGAAAAAATAGCTGCTTAATCCATATATACATACAATCATTAGTTCTTCAACTCGTTTGTGGATTAAAAACATTTTCATCTCATTTCTGCTTTCACACTGAACTAAATAAAATCTGATTTTGCATCCATCCTATGCTGCCATGGTAATTATATATTATTTCTATAGAAATGTGTGAAAATTTGTTGCTCTTGTCTTTTCATATGTGTTTGTGTGTGTGAAAACATTTTGCACTGAAAAATTCACCAGTAATATCAATTGAAAAGTGTGGAGGTGAGTAGCAAATTATTTGTTCTTTAAATCTATTGTGCGACGTGTGATACGTCCACAGAATAATCCGATTATAAAAATGACACCAATGAACGTCATCAATACAAGTAAAAAGTACTTTTTCGACGGTGATGTTACGACCTGAGAGACTAATTCACCTAAATCATCCGGAGCCCGCTGCACAAGCTGCTATGACAAGAGATAGAAAAAAAATCCGATTAGTATCATTAGGCTAGGATACTAATTTTCTTCAGAACATTTGAGAAGTAATTAGCGATTAGTTGTGTCGTGTTAATTACCATTTCAGCGTTTCTAAACATTTCCATGCGTTTCTCCAGTTTGTTTTTGCAATCCGGTTCTAATGCTTTCGACTGATCACTTAAGATCGTCTGCAAACAACGAAGTTCTGTGTGAAGAGAAACGAATCAAATTGTAGTTTAAAATGTCATAAAATCCTTCTTAACAATTGAGAAGTGGAAAAAAGAGGAAAATGGACTCAATGAAAGGTGATCGAAAAAAAAACGAAATACTCACGTCGTCCGTTTCCAGAGGAGACCATATTACAATATTTGAGAAGGTCCACTGTGCATGCACGTTGCAGCAATGGATCAACATGTATGTCTGCCTTTGCCTCTTGAATAAGTAATGCAACTTCAAACTTGCACTCTTGTGAAATGATTCGGCCAAGCCGAAACGCCTCTTTAAGGCATTCCTCCACTTCACCCCGCTCATCTATCACACCCTCGCCCGGCTTACAAAGGATTTAAATCTCGGGCTTGCAAACGGTTTGTAGGAGTGGGTTAAGCTTATAATTTAATGCTTGCTCTTTCAGAACTTCACCCATTCTTTGTTCACATAACGCTGCTAGTTTTCCTTCTCGGAATTTTTTCTTCAAACACTCGACAACTATCCCGTTGAGCTCCTCATTTTGCTTAGCTTTGGCTACGACGTCCGTGCAATACTCGGCTATGTTCTTCTTGCATGACTCCATTAGCAAAGGATTGAAACGATAGTCGGTGTTTTGTTCAATCATACGATTGACAATCACTAGATGGCAATTGTTATCGAATAACATTTCATCCTTATGCACCTTGAGACAATCCAATACTTTGGGCTTTTCTGTATCGTGACAATATTGTCGAATCATATCACGACAGGTATTCATCAATGTGTAATCCGTTGAGCTGTCCGTCAGTTCAGATCGTTTGATGCTGAAAATGATGTGGCGACAATCGCTACCCAGTCTCGGTGAATTGGTTTGCAAACATTCTAACACCTGTAAATGATGAAGACAAGACAAATACCGAATAGTAATGGAGTAATATGAAAAAAAACCATTGCTTTTAATTTGAAATTCAATCAACCCACCTGCCCTGCACCATGTGGAACATCTCCACAAATTTCCTTGATCTCAATTCGGCAGGCATTCTTCAGTTTCGGATCAAAATCGATCGATTCACGTTGCTGAAATAGTTGGGCTCGGATTTGCTGTCGACATTCTTTTGGAACCGAATGTCGTTGGCTCTTTAATGTGTCATTTCGAACCACCTCGCTTAAACAAGCGACCACCTCACCCTTTGTGTTGCTACTCGGACAATATCGAATTACGTACGGACGACAAGCCTCCTTGAATTTGTAGCTAAAATGATAGTTCTGCAACGAAAGTATTTGATAGTGCTCTAATGCTGCGCGGCATTTTAAATTCTGACGTATATCTGGTTCGTTTTTATGTGAAATCAAACATTCCATCATGTCACCATTTTCATGGCTCTCCTTTTCGCAGTATCTTTCCATTTGCAAGCGACAGTATGTCATAATGATTGGATTCAGTTCGATATCACCCGCTTCGTTTTCCGTGAACTCCGATACAGCCTTTTTACAATCCGATTGCAATTTGCCCAAATTATCTTGTAAACATTGCATTTCCTCGCTCGGATTTCCAATCATCGATGCAGGCATCTTCCACCTCTGGAATTAGCTCGACCGAAATTGCTCTTCGTCGCATTGTGAATTTCAATTCCTGCGATAACATGAGTAAGGATAAAACAGACATTCAGTTTTTTGTCCCCATTTGTTTTGGAGGAAATTCATAAATTCCCGAATAACAAAAGAAAAGATGTCAATGCAAACCATACCTGCAAACAAGCTGGCTTCAGTTGTATTTTCTTGTCTTGATTCTTGTCTGAACTGTAGGCATATCGATACAGACACGGTAGAATCATTGGTTCACGATCCGGATCCATTTGATCGGTGTTCACATCGGCCCAGCTTTGTTTTGCATGACAAATTTTAACGGCATCTTCTTTGCAATTACGATACAGTTGCGGGTCCAGTTTGAAGTTTCGAGTGACAAAGTAGTTAATTTGCTTCAATGCGATTTCACAGTCAGGTTTCATGTATTTTGTACCGATTTTGTCTCTCAAGCATGACATAACTCGTGCATCACCACCCTCCGTGTCCGAACAAGCCAGATCAACAACTGGCTTGCACGCTTTGCGAAGGATTGGATCAACTCGCCAATCATCACCAATGTCGGTCACTTTCATAAGCATTTCCAAAGCTGAAATGATTTGGTCAAATTGAGACAGTCATTTTAATGGAAAAAAAAATTGTGCCCATTTAAAAAAAAAACTCAGTTCCATTTACCTCGTTGACATCGTGCCGTAACGCGTCGATCCTTCTTCCGCTTGGGTCTTGCACTTTCCATCAAACAGTGAATTGTTTTACCGCCGCCGGCTTCAAGGTCGTTGCAAAATTTTGTTATATCATCAGCACAATCGCTCAGAATTTCGGGCGACATTTGATAATCTTCCATCAATAACTTACGATGATCAAAAATTTCGATTCGGCAGTCGGGTGAGATTTTGGTATTATTTTTTTCTGCTGCTTCCAGGCACAGTAGAATCTGTGCAAGCCTCACATCTTTGTCGACTGAGACCCCACGGCGACAATGGTTGATTTTGATATCTTCTTTGCACGAGCGCGCCAAACCTTTGCTCACCTTGTAATCGTGCGCAATTATCTTATAACGGCGAGACAATTGCTCTTGACAGCCATTGCTCATCATCGCATCGTTTTTGTGCAGTAATAAACATTTGTAGATTTGAGCTGGACGAACCTCGGCACACAAACGAACCACATCTTCACCGCATGCCGCGAATAATGGCCGATCCAATTTGACATTTTCAGCTTGAAGCTCAGACAGATGCATGATCCCCTTCTTGCACTCCTCGCTCAATGTTTCGATGTGCGTTTGCAAACAGGCCAATGTTTCACCTTGGGACAACACATTTCGATCCAAATGGAAGCGACCACAGGAATTTATTTCGATATCGTTGGAACAATCACGTACAAACGGCGATACAAATCGAAAGTCAGAGAACGCAACGGCTTCGAGGCGACCAATCAAATTCACACAGGCCGGTTGCTTGATCTCATCCTTTTTGTCGATTAATTTTCCAAGTACATTGCCGACCTTATCGGTGGTTTGGAGACTCATCGAACTTAAAGCGGTTTGGCATGGCTTTTGTAAGATTTTCAACACCGTTGCATCGTCCATCATATTTGCTGCGAAAGAGAGTGATTGTTGTTAGCATTTTTTTACATTTGCTTATAGTAATATCAATTATGTTCTAGTTCTTTTTAAGTGTCCTTTCGTATTATATCCAATTATCTTTTCATATTTTTTTAATTCACTGAGCGTTCACTATAAATAAACATGTTCGTCCACATAAGAACGTTGATTTTGTTTACCTGTATGCGTCCAAATTGCGTGTTGGCACTCATCGCTTAGGCTCTCAATTTGATTGGATAAAAATTTTTGAACGCATTCCAGCACCGGCAAATCGTCGGTCCCATCGGGCAGTCTTGTGCACAATGTTCGTATTTCCGGGCATTGTTTTTCGTCGATCAGCCGTAGTGATGCCTGAACGATGGCTCCTCTTCGATGCCGTTCGTGTAATTCATTTTGAATTGGACTGTAACTTAGGCTACCATACGGATCACTATGTGATATCACACTGCTAAATTGGGCTTTACTATGAATAATATCGTTGACACTATTTTGAAAATTAGCTGAAGTTGAGGTACTACAATTTATTGTTGTGGCTATTAACACTAAGCACAGGCGTAGCCACGATTTTAAAAACCATTTTATGTACATGTTTGTGACTTGGTTGATTTTTCTATTCTTTATTTTGTTTTGTTCTCACGAGTATTTCATGCAATTGGTCAAATGTTTTGGCGATAAGATATTTTGTGTGTCCACGAATGATGATGAAACATAATTTGCAAAGCCGCGTTAGTTGAAAATTTTATTGATAATGACTTTTAATTTTGCATTCTCTCAAAAGAAGGGGAAAATGAAGCAAATGTTGTTTTTATGGCAATAATATTCTAATCCATTATGATTAGATTAATGTTTTGTTCCTTTCTGTTCAATCTTACTTGATAATAATCCATCAAATCTCTGTCTCTCTCTCTCTCTCTGTCTCTCTCAATTCTTTTAAGTACACCGTTTCGTTATATCTTCACAAATCGTGATATTCAAGAACATAAATGTGTTGACCAAATTTCCATGTCATCAAACATTCACACACTAATTCTAAATTCAGTTGATGCACTTCTGAAACTTGCTGTGGTAGAACTGTGTGTTTGGCAACAACACCACAACTCAAATACCTTCCAATTTT